CTACTTCTACTGCTACTACTACTACTATTACTACTACTACTACTACTACTACTACTACTACTACTATTACTACTACTACTACTACTACTACTACTACTACTACTACTACTACTACGACTGTTGCTACTACGACTAATACGGCTACTACGACAATTGTTCGGATTGTCCTTGCTACTACAATGACGACTGCTGCTTCTTCAACTTCTTCAATATGTACTACGGTTACCAACGCTTCCCCGTACTACTACCACCATGGCTACCATTATTCCTACGACTATTATTACTGTTATTTCCCGTGCTACGGCTACCATTATGGCCGCTGCCAATACTACTAACACGACTACGAGGACTACCGTTCGCATTAACATTTCTACTACACTTTCTACGACGGCGACTACTTTCTGTATTGTTTCTGGTGGTTACTACGGCTACGACTGCCTAGTACTACTACGACTACTAGTACCCCTGCTTCGGCTACTACTACTACTACTACTACTACTACTACTACATATGCGACCACGACTTGCGACGACGACGACTATTAGTACAACTGTTGCTAATGGGTCTAGTTCAACCACTGCTTTGGCGACGGCGACGACTACCACGACTACTACTACCACGGTTAGTAGTCCCACTTTTCATATTTTCATTATAATCACGATTCTTTTACTTACCAGCATTGCTACTACTACGAACGCGATTTTCACGATGCGTGTTTCCTAGATGACCACTACTACTACTACTACTACGACGGCGATTGTCATTCCCATTATTATTCTTTATTACCATTGCGACTGTTACTATTTCCGTTAGTGTTGTTACTATTACTACCACTACTACTACGATTACTACTACTACTACTACTACTACTACTACTGCTGCTGCTGTTGCTACTACGACTAATGTTGCTACCGCGCCTATTGTTAGGACTGTCCTTACTACTACAACTACGACTGCTGCTTCTTCAACTTCTTCAATATGTATTACGGTTACCAACGCTTCCCCATACTACTACCATCATTGTTACCATTCTCCCTACGACTACTATTACTGCTACGTCCCGTGCTACGGCTGCTACTATGGCCGCTGCTAATACTACTAACACGACTACGACGACGACCGCTCGCATTAATACTTCTACCACATGTTCTACGACGGCTTCTACCACTATGACGACGACTACCTTTTGTATTGTTTCTGATGGCTACGACGACTACGACTGACTATTATTATTACGACTACTAGTACTTCTACTACGGCTACTGCGCTACATCTACGACTACGATTGCGACGACGACGACTATTAGTACTATTGTTGCTACTGGGTCTATTACAACCACTGCTATGACGACGACGACGACTACTACGACTACTACTACCACGGTTAGTGGTCCCACTTTTCATATTTTCACTACTATCACGCGTATTTTACTCATCAGTATTGCTACACTACTGCGGTTACTACTACCACTTCTATTACTACGACGACGATTATTACGATTAGTACGAGTAGTCTCATTACTCGTAAAACTACGGCTGCCATTATTATTACGACGATTACTACCACTATTACCACTACTACGACTTCTACTACTAGGAATGTGAGTAGTACTATTTTCCTTGCTACGACTACTGCTATTACCAGTGCCGCTACTACCTTACTACGAGTACTAGCATCACTACTATCGCCTTTACCCATATTACTTTAACTCCAAGTACCACTACAACTACTACTACTACTACTACTACTACTACTACTACTACTACGACTACTACTACTACTACTACTACTACTACTACTGCTACTACTACTACTCTTACTACTCTTACTACTCTTAATACTCTTACGACTACTCTTACTACTACTATTACTACTACGACTACTACTACTACTACTACTACTACCATTACTACTACTACTACGACTACGACTACTACTGTTACGGCAACAGCTGCTGGTGATCGGACCACTACTACTAATCCTACCACCACAGTTACGACTACTACTACTACTACTACTACTACTACTACTACTACTACGACTATTACTACTATTACTACTACTACTACTACGAGTATTTCTATTACTACTACTACTACTACTACTGCTACTACTACTTCTTCTACTACTACTCCTTCTACTACTACTACTACTACTACTACTACTACTACTTCTTCTACTACTACTACTACTACTACTACTAACTACGACTACTACTACTATTACTACTACTAATCCTACCACCACAGTTACGACTACTACTACTACTACTACTACTACTACTACTACTACTACCACTACTACTACTACTAGTTTGAGTACTACTACTACTACTACTACTACTATTATTACTACTACTATTATTACTACTACTACTACTACTACTACTACTACTGCTGCTGCTGCTGCTGCTGCTGCTGCTGCTGCTGCTGCTGCTACTACTTCCCCTTTTACTACGACCACTAGACGCAGGACGAAGAGATAATGACGGAAAGGCCCTCGTGGTCGTTATCATAGTTGGCGTCGTCGTCGTCGCCGAGGCTGGGACTATTGGTCCTCAATCGATGGGCGGGCTGGATAATGTTGGGTGTCTCTTTTCCCCAGGGAGTAATCCATCCTGGGCTACCCAGCAAGCGAGAGGGTCTGTGAGCATCTTCTCATGAGGCTTGCAATGCGAATCAGTGGTTGTGTGTAGTCGTGTTTGTAGTCGCGGTTACAATCGCGATTGCAATCGAGATTGCAGTCACGATCGTAGTCGTAATCGTCGTCGCTGTTGTATTCGTTATCGCAGGTGGAATCTCAGTCGTAGTCGTAAACGTCGCCGTCGCCGCGGAGGTTCTGATTTTCCCAACCATCCTGTGGTGATGGGTCCTCGTTTTGAAGAGACGGTGGCCCGCGTCTTCCCTCCTCCTCTCCTCCTCCTCCTCTCCTCCTCCCTCCTCCTCCCCCCTTTCCCTGCGTTTCACCCACCCAATACAGCGCTTCGTAGCTCCATCGGGAGCTCCGCCGAAGGCCCCAGTGCTGCCGCCCGCATGCGTCACGCACACCCAATTCGGCACACCCCTCACACGTTTCGTGGCCCCATAGGAGCTCCGCCGAAGGCTCCAGTGCTGCCGCCCGCATGCGTCACGCACACCCAATTCGGCACACCCCTCACACGTTTCGTGGCCCCATAGGGAGCTCCGCCGGAAGGCCCCAGTGCTGCCGCCCGCATGCGTCACGCACACCCAATTCGGCACACCCTCACACGTCGTTCGTGGCCCCATAGGGAGCTCCGCCGAAGGCCCCAGTGCTGCCGCCCGCATGCGTCACGCACGCCCAATTCGGCACACCCCTCACACGTTTCGTGGCCCCATAGGGAGCTCCGCCGAAGGCCCCAGTGCTGCCGCCCGCATGCGTCACGCACACCCAATTCGGCACACCCCTCACACGTTTCGTGGCCCCATAAGGGAGCTCCACCGAAGGTCCCGGTGGGTGTGCCCGCATGCGTCCAGCACGTTCATGTCGGCACACCCCTCACACGCTTCGTGGCCCCATAGGGAGCTCCACCGAAGGCCCCAGTGCTGCCGCCCGCATGCGTCACGCACACCCAATCCGGCACACCCCTCACACGTTTCGTGGCCCCAAAGGGAGCTCCACCGAAGGTCCCAGTGGGTGTGCCCGCATGCGTCCCGCACACCCATGTCGGCAACTCTTCACACGCTGTGGCTCCATAGGGAGCTCCCCCGAAGGCCCCGTGGGTGTGCCCGCATGCGTCCCGCACACCCATTTCGGCACACCCCTCACACGTTTCGTGGCCCCATAGGGAGCTCCACCGAAGGCCTCAGTGGGTGTGCCCGCATGCGTCCCGCACACCCAATTCGGCACACGCGTTTCGTGGCCCCTCCACCGAAGGCCCAGTGGGTGTGCCCGCATGCGTCCCGCACACCCATTTCGGCACACCCCTCACACGTTTCGTGGCCCCATGGGGAGCTCCACCGAAGGTCCCAGTGGGTGTGCCCGCATGCGTCCCGCACACCCATTTCGGCACACCGCTCACACGTTTCGTGGCCCCATAGGGAGCGCCACCGAAGAAGATATTCACAATTGCGGTACTCACAATTGCATATGGTTGGGTCCTTCGCCCGGATAATTTTCTATGGTCGGGCGGGTTGGACAATGGTGGAGGGGTCTTTCTCCGAGGGGTGATTGTTGCCTGGGCTACCCTGCACGACAGAGGAGTTTCAAGCACATCTGTACGAGGATTGCAATGTAGATCGACACGGCCTTCGTCGACGGCATTGTTCACAATCTCCTCTTTCATCTCGTCGTCGTCGTCGTCGTTGTGCGGCGGGTGCCGCGGCAGCTGCCGCGGATGAGGTCGCCGGGAAAAAAGCGGTTGCCTCCCATTGGGGCGGGCCTCTGGAGACCACTGTGGGCTACCCAGACCCCCGACGTCATGATTTTTTCATGACGCGCCCCCCAGAGGTCCAGACCCTTTCCCTATGACCGGTTTTTCGTCCTGAGTCGTTTTTTGACGCGCCCGAGGCCCAGTGAGGGCCCCCGGAGGCCGAAAACAGGGAAAAACCTCCCGTCGTGATTTTTTCATGACTCGAGGAGGTATGGGTATGGGGCCCCCGGGCTGTTCCTCCTCTGACGGCCACCTCGGCGCCATCTGCAGGCGTCCCCGGGCGCTGCAGGCTGGCCGCCTCGGCCCGAGAAACCCCCGAGCCGGGCGGCGAGGCCCCCTGTCGGCCGCCTCGCCTCTCCCCCGTCCGCCGGCCTCGCCTCGCCCGCCCCCCCCCCCCCCCCCCCTCCTCTCCTCCTCCTCATCCTCCTCCTCCTCCTCCCCCTCCTCCTCCTCCTCTCCTCCCCGCTCCTCTGGCTCTGGGCTTGGCCCTCTCCTCCTCCTCCTCCTCCTCCTCCTCCTCCTCCTCCTCCTCCTCCTCCTCCTCCCCCTCCTCCTCCTCCTCCTCCCCCTCCGCCTCGCCCGCCCCCCCCCCCTGGCACCCGCGGCGGGATGGAGGCTCCCGAGGAGTGGTGCGCCGCCGCCGCGGCCCGCGCCCACGCGGGCGCCGCGGGCTCCACCGAGGAGCCGCCCCGGAGAGAGGGGGCCCCGGAGGGGAGGGGGGTGCCCGAGGCTGCTCGGCATGTTCGGCCGCGTGGGGGCCGGGCCCGGGGCCCGCGGGGGGCCGACGAGCAGCGGCTCGTCGGGCGTTGCGTCGCGGAGGGGGGCGATGGCGATGGCGGTGGCGGTGGCGGTGATGAGGATGAGGATGACGACGAGGACGAGGACAAGGATGAGAACACGGATGAGGACGAGGATGGTGATGATGATGATGATGATGATGATGATGATGATGATGATGATGATGATGATGATGAGGATGAGGATGAGGATGAGGATGATGATGATGATGATGATGATGATGATGATGATGATGGTGGTGGTGGTGGTGATGATGGTTATAGTGATGGTGATGATGGTGATGCTGATTATGATGATGACCAGCATCATCATCATCATGCCTATGATGGTGATGGTGATGATGATAATGATGACAACGATGATGGTAGTAATGATGATGATGATGATGATGATGATGATGATGATGATGATGATGATGATGATGATGATGATGATGATGCTGATGAGAATAATAATGTTAATGATGATGATGATGATGATGGTGATGATGATTATGAATATGATTATGCTTATGATTATGATTATACTTATGGTTGTGATGATACTGATGGTGATGGTGATGGTGATGACGATGACGATGACGATGACGACGACGATGACGATGACGATGATGACGACGGTGACGATCGTCAACGATAAAGGGGGGGGTGAAGAAAGGTGCATCTTTTCTGCCCCGAAGGGGCCCTGAAGAGGCCCCCATTTGGCCAAAAAGGGGCACGACAGGCGCACGTTCCCCTACACACGCAGGTATCGCCCCCCCATTGAGCAACGCCCTCACTCGGGATGAAGACCCCGGTGGTCCTGGGGAAGTTACGGCCGAGAAGGTTGGCTCGGCGTGTGGCGCCGCCAGGTGTGGGCCCCCCACGCCTCGCCACACGACACGCTGGCCGCTGACCGACTCGGGATCCCCAAGGCGCCCTCGTTCCGAGCTTCTCCCAGCCTCCTGCCCCGTGGAGCGGAGGCGACACGCTGTCCGCTCGCACGGCATGGCGTGGTGCCCGGGCCGCCGCGACACGCCGAGCAGAAGTTCCCAACCGTGGGCCCTGGGGTCCAGGACGTGCTTCCGCCAGGGTGCCCCGTTGCCCCTCCTCATGCCCGTCAGGCCACGTGCGCCCGCGCCGCGGCCAGCGCCCCCTCGCCTTCCGCGGAGGAGCTGCGCCGGGCGCTCGCCAGGGCGGTCGCGGAGGCCTTCCAGAGCCTCCACCGCGCGCAGGACATCATCGAGCGGGAGTTGCCCGGCGTGCTGGCGTCGGCGCTCCACGCGCGCGGCGCGCCCGAGCCCTGCGGCAGCGGCGCCGCCAGTCCCGAAGAGTTGGCGGCCGCCCGCGCGCATGCGTGCCACGAGGCGCCCAGCGTGGTGCCCGAGCGCTGCGAGGGGCACGGCGCGCGGCAGGGCGCCCAGGGCGCAGCCAGACCCTGCTGCAGCAGCGCCAGCCTCGAACCCGTGCGGCGGCAGCTCGCGCCGTGCGCCCTCGCGCAAGAGATGCCCGGCTTGGTGCCCGAGTGCGGCGAGGCGCCCGGCGCGCCGCCAGGCGCCGCCTGGTCGCCGGGCGCTGCCGAGAGCACCGGGGGCGGCTCTGCCCGCATCGACGACCACGGCCAGGCAGCGGAGGGGCCGATGAGGTGGGCTCTGCAGAAGTGGCGCGCCTCCGAAGTAGCTTCGGACGACGCGCTCGAGGCTGAACCGTCGCCAGATGGAGGCGAGCATCCCGCCCCTGACCGCAGGCTCAGCTTGCACAGCAGCTCGTCGAAGAGTAGTTTTCCGAACCAGCCGCTGCCGCTCACATCGGACAGCATCGCTCTACACCAACGCGTGTTGCAGTTCAAGGTATTGGGGAAAGAGCACAGCCAGGCAATCCTGGAGCAGTGGAAGCACCTCGTCAAGTCTCTGCAGGAGATCAGTGTTTCCGAGATTTCCCAAATTCACAGCGCGTGGACAGAAGCCAAGACTCTCGGTATCGTGTTATTTGCTCCTCAAAAGCCAGCTAAGGGATCGGGATCGGCAGCGAAGCTGTTTCACAGCACCACTGGTACCCTTCAAGATTTTGACGGCAAGATACGGCATAGTGGTACGAACCAAGGGGAAAAAATCAGGAGAGTTGCCAGCACGATTCTGATCTATGTCTGTCACCCTTTTACCAAGCAGCGAATCGCCTGGGACTTTATAGGCATGGCGCTCTGTTTACATGACGTGACGATGTTTCCTGCGGAAGTGTTTGAGTTGCCAGAAGAGTACCTGAACTTCCGGTTCTACTACGAGTTCTTGGCCTGCGTGTTCTGGACCATGGACATACCCATCAACTTCAGCACTGGGTACATATCCATGGAGGGCCTCCTCGAGATGCGGAAGGGCAAGGTTCAGCCACGCGCAGAGGGGGGTGAAGGGAGGGGGGAGGGCTTCTTAAAAGCACCCCTGCTTCTTAGAAGGCGCGGGCCTTATCTATAGATGTAAGGACGGCGCCTTCTAAGAAGCAGCCTCCTTCTAAGAAGCCCTCCCCCCTCCCTCCACCCCCTTGTGCGCGCCGCCAATAGGTGATTTCGCACTACGCGCGCACGTGGGCCACGCCGGACGTGGTCGTCACGCTCCTCGACTGGATCTGCCTGCTCGCCAGCGTCAACAACTCCGGCATCCTCCGCCTCGGGAAGGCCGCCTCCCGCACGATGCGCTCGCTGCGGCTCCTCCGGCTGCCGAGACTCAGCGCCTCCCTGAACGAGGTAGTCGGGGCTGTCAGCTCCGAGGCCGTGATCACACTGGCAGGATCTGGGGAACGTAAGTCGAAGAACAACAACGCTATAAACATAAATTGTCTGCTTCGAGCGATCCCCACCGAAACATTGGGCTCTGTCCTCTTCCTCCTGCTCCATGCCTCTTTCCCCTCCTCCTTCTTCTCCCCTCCCAGCCTTAGGCTGAGGGACGCAGGCGAGGAGGCCGCCCGCAGAGGGGCGGCGGCAGGGACTCGGGGGTTCTCGGGACAACCGGGGGTCTGGCCTGGTTTGGGCTTGTTTCAAGGGCAGAAAAAACGCCCCTACCCTGGTTTACAAGGCGCTGTGCGCTGAAACTCCTGTGGGCTGACAGGGTAAACCCTGCGTGATGTGCCGCGTCCTGGCGGCTCTAGGCTTTGGGGGTTCCCAGGAGGTTTACAGACCGCGCACTTGTAACCCAGGGTAGGGCCGTTTTTTCATCCCTCAATTTGTTATGTGATGTTATGTTGTGTTGTGGTTCAGTTTGTTCTCTGATGTTATGTGGTTATCTGGTATGTTACGTTATGATCTGGTTTGTTATGTGACGTTATGCTGTGCTTTGTTCTTTCATGATATACATTGTTTTGCCATGATATAGCATGTTATGTTATGGTATGCCGTAGTATGTCGACTATGGTGTGCATGATATGATATGGTATGTTATGTGATGCTATGTCATGGTCTGGTTTGTGATGATACTGCTCATGTCATGTCATGATCGCGCTATGGTATGTGATCTTATACTGTGACGTGTTGTGTTATGTCGCCTTCGTCGCTATGCTCTGTTGGCGTGTTATGACATGTTCTGAAAGCTGTGCCGTGATATGAGATGTTCCGTCAAGGTGAGTTATGGTATGATCGGTCCTGTTGTGTTATGTTGTTTTATGGCATGTTCTGTTCTGCAATGCTCTGCCATGGTACGTTTTGTAATGTTGTAGTATGCTGTGGTGTGTCACGAATTGCTATGATATGCTGTGTCATGTTTGATATGCGATGGTATGTTGTGTTATGTTGTCCCATGCCATGCATTACTCGGTCATGTTATGTAATGGGATGTGATTTTATGTCGTGTTATGCTTATTACGTCATGCTAGTGTGTCGTGATATGATAGGGCATGTCACGTGTTGTTATGTCACGGCCTGTTTGTAATGATACTGCAATGTGATGTTATGTCATGGTATGCCATGGTCGTGTTTTGTTATGTTATATTATAGTGTGACCTGTTGTGTTCTGTCGTGCTCGTCGCTATGCTCTGTTGGTGTGCAATGGTATGTTATGAGCGCTGTGTCGTGATATGAGATGTTCAGTCAAGGTGTGTTATGCTATGCTCAGTTATGTTATGTTATGGCGTAGTATGCCGTCTTTTAATCTGCAATGCTCTGCCATGATGTGCTTCGTGTTGTTATATTACGCTGCGCTTGTTCTGTCATGTTATGTTGTTTATTGCCGTGTTGTTTGTGTTCGCCGAAGGCGCGAGGCGGGACTCCCAGGGATTCGAGGACTCTCGGGACAACTTGGGGTCTGGCGGCTGCGGTATGCAGTCGTGTTTGTCGAGGGCGCGAGGCGGGAGTTCCAGGGACTATCGGGGACTCTCGGGACAACTTGGGGTCTGGCGGCCGCCGTATGCAGTCGCGTTTGTCGAGGGCGCGAGGCGGGAGTCCCAGGGGTTCTCAGGGACTCGGGACAACTTGGGGTCTGGCGGCCGCGGTATGCGTGGGGTTGGCTGGGGGGTCTGTTCTTGAAGTCGAACAACCTCAACCTGTCGGGTGGGGAACTTTTGGCGCTCCGCGCGGATTTCTTAGATCCGCGCTGGGGCCCCCTCCCTGGCGGCGCCTCCGGCGCCGCCCCTGGCGCGCTGTGCGCGCCAGGGAGGGGGGGGCCAGCGCAGATCCAAGAAATCCGCGCGGAGTGCCAACATTTTATGTTTATGGCGCTGTTTCTTCTTCTAGTAAGCTCGAGTAGGCTAGAACTCGGATTTGGTGGCGCTTTTTGTCTAGCCCGTCCTGGATATTTAGACGGTTCACTTTTCGTGGAATGCTTGCAGCGGGAGCTCGCGTCAAGTTTCAGATGGGGTCTCGTCGTTTTCATGATGGCCCCCTCGGGCCAACCCGAGACCTCCGAACCCGAGTGTTACGTCTCCCCGACAGGAGTTGCCAAGCTGCTCATGCTGCTGATCCTGGTGACACACTACGTGGCCTGCATGTGGTTCTGGTTGGCTGACACGTCCGACGAGAGCAGGACTTGGAAGACCAGGTTTCTGGGTCCGGCCGACTCCCAGCCGTACGAATATCTAATCTAGCTGCCTGCGGCCAGTCCTTCACCGTGCCAGACCAGCCACCCTGGAAGGCTACCGTGCGAGAGGCGCACGGGGGGCTGCAACGTGTGCCACATCGCGTCCCCGGGCCTCGTCCACGGCGTTGGCATCGTGGATTCCAAATCTTCTCTCTGCGCTCCTCTTGCCCCTCCTCCTCGTCGCCCCAGACTGCCCCTGCCGTCACGGGGCCGTCCTGTACTGCTGTGAGGCCGTCCTGGGGCGGAGCAGGAGGATGACGGGCATGGGGATGGTGATGACGATGAGGAGGAGGAGGAGGAGGAGGAGGAGGAGGAGGAGGAGGAGGAGGAGAGATGAGCTTGCGAACGGCGGAAGACGTGGGTGAGGAACGTAATGACGATGAGGAGGAAAAGGAGAAAGAGGACGACCGTCACACGAGACAGTTGTCGACTTCTTGCCTTCGGAGCCCTCGTGGGGCTTACAGGCTTACATGTTTGGGCCGTCTTGGGCTGTGCGGGCTCCTGACGGGCAGCCTGAGTCTAAGGGATCCCTTGGGGCCCTTACGGGCCGTTTTAAGGCTCGCTCTGACCGCTTCGTGGCCCTATTCGTGCGTCTTGGGGCCCTGTTGGCCGTCGAGGGGGGGGTCTTGTGGCCGTCGTGGGGCCGTCTTGGGGCCGTCCTCGGCCGTCCTGGGTCCTTTGCAGGCCCTCCTGGGCCAGCTTGGCGCTCTCCTGTGGCCGTCCTGAGCTGCCTAAGGGCCGAGCTTGGGCCTCGTGGTGGGCCGAGCTTGGACCCAAGGGCTTTCACAAAAAGGTTAGCTGGCGTGGACTCCAAACCAGTAAGTCATGGATTTCCGCATGTGCAAGCCTGTGTGGTACAGTCTCTGTGGTGTGAGGTTTTCGGTGCAGCCTACATGGTGCAAGCTGTGCGTGTGTGTGTGTGTGTACAAGCTGCGTTCCCCAAACAGTGCTTGCACTCAGAGGCTCTTGTCTCCATTCTTTGGAACTGGGCCCGTCTGCGGACCCGGCGGCCCCGTTCGCGTCCGTCGCCGCCCCAGGTGTCCCAATACATGGCCCGTTTGCGGGCCCGACCGCCCTGTTCCGGTCCGTCGCCGCACCACATCGTTTTACACTGCGTAGCTCACGCCACGTAGATTTTACCGCAAAGCTCACACCACACAGCATACACCACATAGCTGGCACCACGTAGATCTCACAACATGGGGTGCACAGCATGGCAAGCATCACATAGCATGCACCACACCACATAGTTTGCACCAGGTAGCTTGCACCACACATATTGCACCACACAGATGGCACCACACAGATTGCACCACATAGCGTGCACCACGTAGATTCTCCTTTCTAAAATGAAAATAGACTCTACCCCCCCCCCGGACTTATCGCTTCCCCCTGGGATAGTATGATTTCATATTTATTTTGCACACTCGTCCATCCTAAATATGAAACCATACCATCCCAGCCAGGCCGGGTTCCCCCCCCATGAGGTTCCCTTGTAAAAAAACACTATGCGGTGACAATGTTTGTTCTAACATAGCACTTTTTCAGGAATCCCTTGCAAAAAATGGGACGAAGTGCACACGCGCGCGTCGTCGCGCGCGCATACCGAAATCCTTCAAAAACCCTCGGTGCCGGAAGGATTTCGCAATCGAGTTTCCCAAAACAACATACAAAAACACATGGTTTCGCAACACTGATTTGCTAAAAAAGCTTCCGCGCGAGCTCTTGCGAAATCTTAAGAAAACCATAGGTTTTCCAAGATTTCCACAAAATGCTACCAAAGGGGCTTCGCGCGCGCATGTCGAAATCTGTCGAACGCCCTTGCGCGTGTGACGTCGCGAGAATCCTCTGCAACAAACGAGACGAAGTGCAGACGCGCGCGTCGTCGCGGGCGTACGCCGAAAACCTTTAAAACCCATCGGTTTCGGAAGGATTTCAAAATCGTGCGTCCAAAAAACCTACAAAAACCCAAGGTTTCGCAACGCGGATTTTCAACAAAAGCGTGCGCGCGCGCTCTTGCGTCGTCGTCGTCGTCGTCGCCGTCCTCCCTCCTCCCGCGTCGTCGTCGTCGTCGTCGCCTACGTCGTCCTGTCTTTTCTCGTGTTCGTCGTCGTCGTCTTTGGCGTCGTGGTCGTTTCCGTCGTCGTTGTCGCCGTGGTCGTCCTTCCTCTCCTCCCACGTCGTCGTCGTCGTCCGTCGTCGGCGTCTCGTCGTCGTCCCTCCTATTTCGTCGCCGTCGTCGTCGTCGTTGTCGTCGTCGTCTTCCCTCCTCCCTCGTCGTTGTCGTCGTCGGCGTCGCCGTCCTTCCTCCTTCGTCGTCGTTCGCGTCGCCGCCGTCCTCCCTCTTCCCTCGTCGTTGTCGTCGTTGTCGTCGTTGTCGCCGTCGTCGTCCTTCCTCCTCCCTCGTCGTCGCCTTTGTTGGCGTCGTCGTCGTCTTCGTCGTCGTCGGCGTCGGCGTCGTTGTCGTCGTCGAAGTCGTCGGAGACGTCGTCGGTGTCGTCCTAGTCGTTGTCGTCGGTGTCGTCGTAGTCGGTCTTAACAGGTTTTGCAAACCAAGTTGCGGGTGGGTGGATGGGATGTTTGCGCGAGCAGTGGAGATGGCGACTTCAAGTTCAGCAGAGTGGATTGCACTTCATAGCTTTCTCCCCGTAGCTTGCACAACAGAGCTTGGAACACACAGTTTGCACCACGCAGGTTGCGCCACGTCAGTTGCAACGCATTGCTTGCACACCATAGCTTACACCGCCACGTTACTTACACCGCGTGGTTGCATCACAAAGCTTGCACAACCAGAGTGTACTAAGTTACTGGGTGGGGTCCACGCTGACTATCATGGCACAGCACATGGTGTGCAATCAAACGTGCTGCAATTCATGTTGTGCAGGCTCGGTGGTACACTATTTGCTGTGCAAGCCAGGCTGTACAGCACATGTTGTGCTAGCTACATGGTACAGAATATGTGGCGGCAGCTATCGTGTGGAAACTTTAGGGTGCACGCTGTAGTATGGTGCACGCTGTATGGTGTTAACTATATGGGGCAAGCTGTGTGGGGCGACTTGTTTGGTGCAAGGTATGTCGTTCAAGCTATGTGGCTCCTGCTATGGGGTACAGGCTCTGCGTCGCACTGCATGTTGGTGCAAACAACCCAGGACAAGCTATGTTGTGCAAGCTATGTCGTCGTTGACAATACACTTGGTGCACGCTGCAGGGGCGCACGCATCGACATTCTGGAAGCCCGCAACTTGAATGTTCGGGCACATATCCAATCCACCCGCCCATCCGCAGCTTGATGGCAAAACTCGGCTGGCGCGAAGCTGCGAGGATTGCTTTCATAATGACACCCCATTCGCCCAAACAGCGTTTGCACGCAGGGGTTCTGCCTCGGCACGGTGTCTCTCGTCCTTGCTGGCCGCGCCGCATTCTCTGACCAGTCCATGCTACCTCAGGCTCGTGCTTCACAGTCGTGATGCGGCCCTGGGCAGATCCCTTGGTCTCGGTGCTTTTGCTTCACAGTCGTGATGCGGGCGGTCCTGTCGAGCCCAGGGCTGCTGTCCAGCAGCCGTGCCCCGCTCTTGCGGCGGCGCTGTGCAGGCTGTGCCCCAGCAGCCGTCCAGCAGCTGCTCCGCCTCTCTGAACCGATGTGGGGTCCTCTTGAGGCGTTTCAGGGCCGTCTTGGAGGCCATCTTGGGCGTCTTAGACGCCTCTTAGGGGAGGAGGAGGAGGAGGAGGGGGAGGAGGAGGAGGAGGAGGAGGAGGAGGAGGAGGAGGAGGAGGAGGAGGAGGAGGAGCAGGAGGGGTGAGCTGTGCTGTGCAGGCTGTGCTGTGCGAGCTACGCTATGCCCACCCAGGGCAGAGGGGCGAAACCTCGGCGGGCCCACCGGGGGCACGAGGCGCCCTCCGAGCGCCTGCGGAGGGGGGGGGGGGAGCGTGGCGAAACCTTGGCGGACCCCCCGCGAGGCGCGGGGCGCCCACGAGGCGCCCACGGGCGGCAACGATGCGAGACCTCGGCGGACCAACCCAATCGCTGAGAGGTTCTCCTCCTCCTCCTCCTCCTCCTCCTCCTCCTCCTCCTCCTCCTCCTCCTCCTCCGTGAGAACCCTGAGAGGGCCAGCACTGCTTCGGGAGAGAGCGGTCGTGCAGAGCAAGTCTGCGAAACCGTTGCGCAGAGGGCGGGGGGAAGTCGGGACCCGGCATGGAGTAGGAGAGAGTCTGCGTGATCCAGGCTCTCTGATGCACGCTTTTTGGTGTAGGCCACGTGGTGCCAGCTACAGTGGAGACCCATGCCAAGAAACACCCTGCTTGTCTCCAGGGTTCCCTGGGTTTCTTGGCGTTCGATGGCTTTGCCATGGAGAGCGCGACGCTCCCTCACCAAAAGTCCATGGACGTCCTGAGGTCTCGGGGTTGGGTTCCTTGCGGAAGGCTTCCTGTGGTTGGGCCCCCACTTCCTCCTCCTCCTCCTCCTCCTCCTCCTCCTCCTCCTCCTCCTCCTCCTCCTCCTCCTCCTCCTCCTGGGGATGCTTCCGCTCCCCGAGGCGGACCCCCCCTCCCGCTGCCCCTCGCCGGAGGGCGGCGCACCGCGGCCCAGTCCAGCTCCGCGCGCGAAGGCAGAAGGCGGTGGCCAGCGCGGCCGCGCGCGGTGGCCGTCCCCGCGTCGGCTGGCCGCCGCTCGGGCTCCGCCTCCTCCTCCTCCTCCTCCTCCTCCTCCTCCTCCTCCTCCTCCTCCCTCTCCTCCTCCTCCTCCTCCTTCTCCTCCTCCGCCTCCTCCTCCTCTTCCTCCCCCTCCTCCTGTCCCCGCGTCGGCTGGCCGCCGCTCGGGCTCCGGCCGGGGACGTCGGCGGCATCGGAGCTCACGCCGCGCCGCGGGGTTCGGGCCGGGCGAAAGGGGGGGATTGGGAAAGGGGGGGTTACGAAATTTGCTGCATGCAGCTGGTTTGGGCCCCACGGAGGGCCCACTTCCTCGATACATAGCCGCCTCAGGCGCCGGGAGGCGCCGGGAAAATCAGCTACGTGAGCTGATTCTCAAACCCCCCCTTTGCTATCCCCCCCTTTCGCCCGACCCGAGGGGTGCCGGCTGGCGGGACCCGTGCGGCACGGGCTCTGCGGTGCAGTCGCAGCGCCCCTGCGGCGCACGCGGCGCCTACGGCGGGGCACGGGCCGCAAAAAGCCCAGAGGTCCACGGTCGGGACACGGGGGGCGCCCACGGGTCGCCGCGAGGCGAGCATCTAGAGATCCCGCGGCAGTGGGGGCCCACGAGGCGCCCACGGGCGGCCAGGAGGGGGGTGATGACCAGGGGGCGGTGGATAGCACGTCGTGGGCCATGATGCTTCCTCAGATTTCATGGCGCCCCTTCTTGTTTCAACACGTCCCCGCCCTCCCCCCCCCCTGGGCCGCGCACGTGCCGCCGCCCATGGTTTGCGCCCCCCTCTGTTGGACGCCCCCCTCTTGGCCGCCCCCGACGGTGGGCATCCACAACTGTTGGCAGTCGTCTGCAGCGGAACAAAAAGCGGCAGTGGGCGCCCACGAGGCGCCCACGGGCGGGCACCGGCGCCGCAAAACCAGGATCTTGTCTTCTCCCACGAGGTGCGGACATGCGTCAGAACCTCCGTGTGCAAGTGCTCGGCGGGGAACTTTCGGGCTCGATGCCTGTGGCCTCCCGAGGTCCTCCTGGAGGGCATCGTGGCGGTCTCTCGCAGTCCTTCGGGGGCCTCTTGGGATCCCTGGGGCGTGTCCTAGGGCCTCGTGGGTGCACATGGGTGCGATGTTCGGCCATCTCGGCAGCCATCGTGGACGCCTTGGAGAGCGCCGGGGAGGCGAGGCGCCCAGGAGGCCTCGGTGTGGTGGGGTGGGCAGAGAAGAGCGCATGCAGTGAACCCCTACCGTACAGCCCTTGGCATTCTACCACCCCTCAACGTGGCAGGGCCATTGCGACGGACCGCGATGCATTGGGCGATCACTCAATTCACGCCTGCATCAATGGAGGTGGTTCCGACAAACGTTAACGAGCGTCTTTTTACCTGCGTTGTGATCGTCGTGGCCATGGTGTTCTTTTCCTCGTTCGTGTCGAGTATCACTCATGCGATGACCAATCTTCGCTCGATTCATGTGCGCAAGATAGAGCAGGAAATGTTCATGGCAAAGTATTTCAGCGAGTTCCGGATTTCTCGGGAGTTGGCTTCGCGTTGCCGCCATTTCATCACACAGCACCAGAGAATGGCATCCAGACGCATAAAAGGGACGGACATCCCTTTCAGTAACATCTTGCCCAAATTCATCAATGAAGATCTACGTTGCGAGGCGCTTATACCGTTCCTTAAGGCGCATCCCTTCTTCGACTTCTACATGGTGATCTGCCCCGTGGGTATGCGGCAGATCTGTTGCAACGCCACAGAGGAAATCTCGATGCTCCCGCAGGAGGAGCTTTTCTGGAACGGCCAGCCTGTGAATCGTATGTTCTTCGTGCGGGTCGGGTCCGTGTTCTACACCGACGACAACACTGACATACCAACTTTGGAAGTGAAAGTTGGCCAGTGGGCCTGCGAGGAGACGCTGTGGTCCAAGGTGTCGCTGGTGTCCAAGCCGTTCACGGCCTCCACACTGGGCTGCGAAATGATCACAGTTTTGCCAGCGGAATTCCAGATGATCAGTAAGATGCACCCTTACCCATTGAGGTTTTGCGTGAACTACGCAAAGCTATTCATCAATGCATTCAATTGTGCGAGTAAGGATATCGCGTACCGGAACTTGCTGTTCAACGACAGTCGGGAGTGCACGAATTTAGTGTTCCACGCTTGTGTTGGCCTTGATGATCAGGGCAAACTCAAGAAGCACTTCGGCACGAAACTCGGCCTCATGAACAGCATACTGCGGATCGCCGCGGCTGGGGAGGACGAGACCAGTCAGTCCTCGCCCTCCGCGTCTGTCGCGCCTGGGCCTGGGTTTGGGTGATATCCCATGGAACTCGGGGCGGCATTTGCGCCGAGTGGGATCTTCTGGGTGTGCCAAGCAAGTGCGTTCACCTTCTCGTTCACTTGCAACCATCCGCCCATGTAGGTGCCACTGCCACCGCTGGCACTGGATAGTGGCAATTCCTTTTGCGATTTGGGCGGACGGCGCCTGCTTCAGGGAGGAGGAGGGGGCGGAGGAGGAGTAGAGGATGATGTTGGTTTCGGCAGGGCCGGTCGATCGTCCAGCTGTCTCACACTTTTTGCTTCCTGCTCGCTGCTATCTCCCTGCGGTGCTCGAGGGCGAACCTAGTGCACAAGTGACCACCTCGGGCCATAGCCCGGCATCCTTTGGCACCCCGTCGCAGATCAACAATACTTCTCCGCGACGTCTCCAGGCGATTTGCGCTCACACCCGTGCCTATCCAGCACAGCCAGTGGAGCAGAAGGAGGGAGGCAGAGGAGGAGGAGGAAGAGGAGGAGGAGGAGGAGGAGGAGGAAGAGGAGGAGAAACAGGAAGGCGAGGAGGAGGGAGGAGAAGGAGGGAGGAGGCGAAGGAAACGATGCCGATAGCGTTACCGTTCTATCGTCGCCTCAATATTCTGGCCAGAACGCATCCCTGGAGAGGTCTAGGGGGTAGTGGTATCGGCACCCATCTGCTCCCCCAGAACGAGGAGGAGGAGACGAGCGAGGGGGGGAAGCGAAAAGGCGAAGGCCTTCTCAGAAGGTGGCGGGGCTTTGCAGAGGCGCTCCAGCGTTCTGAGAAGTCTCCTGTCGGCGTCACCCCAACATACTTCTACCAGATGTGCGTCGCCCACCCAGGGGCGACGCGCGCACCGAGGAATCGTATAGTATATGCGTCGTGGCGGGCGCAGTCTGGCCACACCGCTCGGGAAACGATATACTACAAGATGGGTATACTATATGTTCGGGTCGGACGCGCGCCTCCAAGGAGGACATATAGTATTCGTACGTCTCTGTGCGTGCCATTCTGTGTCCCTGGGGATGGCTTAGAGAACTTGTCAGAAGACTGGGTGGCTTCGGAACCACTTGCGGAGCCCCGTCCCTTCTCGCTTCCCCCCTGGGCTCGCCGCCGACCGGGAAGTTCTTCCCACCCCACCCCTTCTTCCCTATTCCAGGCCTCCCAGATGGGGTCGGAGTAGATGGGGTCGGAGCATCGCGCCGCATCGCCGATGCATGAGCTTAGCGTTTTCAAGATCGTCTAAGCCCCCTCCTCCCTGCTGCGTCTACTCCTCCCTTCCTCCCGCCTTTGACTAAGAAAACGCTGCATGAGCAGAAACTCTCAGAGTTCCGCGCGGATTTCTCGCATTTGCGCGTGGCCTCCCGTAGCGGAGCCACACCCGGCGCGCTCCGCTCGCCTGGGAAGGGGCCCCAGCGCAGATCCAAGAAACGCGTGTTGAGCTCGGAAAGTTTGTGGGCATGATGCTTTCTCGTCCTCCTTCTCTTTCCGCTTGTCGGGCCGCGCTGGTCGTGCCCGGCGCTCCCCTCCGCCAGGACCACGCTGGCCAGGGATCGAGTCAACCTCGCGGATGCGTCCTGGTAGTGTCTCGAGAGATCGAGCTACTCATGTGGCGCGACGCCGCGCGCTACAGTCCCGGCCCGAGTGCAGCTCTTGTGGGCGCAGTGCCCGTTTTAAAGCCCAGGGGCGGTTCTGCTTCTGCGCAGGCCGCTCCGCACGTTTGAAGCCCAGCTCCGCTTCTGCAGGAGACCGCTGCTCTTTTGCGGCTTCTTTCCCAACTGCATGCTATCGAAGTCGGCAGGCTGGATTGCCGACGAGGCCGAGCACCATGATGTGCCGACGGAGTACTGTTTTTCGTTTCCGTCGTGGCTCGCCGCGGAACTTTGCCTGACGTGTTCGTTGTTGGTGCTCGGGGTGATGCGGCCGCTCAGTTTAGTGAGCGTTGTGCGAATCACTGCCGTGTGTCGGATGGTGTTGTGTGCCCCCACCGTGTATCGGAGGACTTGTCTCGCCATCGAAGATCCGCCAGGACAAACAGTCAGTAGCGCGTCATCTGGCGTCTGGGCGTTCTTCCATGGGCTGTGAAGTGTGGAGTCTTGTAGGGTCTATTGGCCATCTGGGGTCGTTGAGGGCTGCGTGTCTTGTCTGGCGGTCTCATGAGGCGTCTATGGGGTCGACTAGGAAGCCATGTTCGGCAATCTTGGGGGTGTCTTGGGCGCCTTGGGTAGGCCTGTGGACATGGCGTACCTTTTCAGGCGCAGTTGTGCCCTTCTTAGAGGCACACTGATTTCAAAAGTGGCGATTACCGAAGCTATAACCAACGGATCGACGGCGTCCGTCCTGGGGACCCTGCGACGAGTCATGTTCAAGATTTGGGGGACGAGTTCGCGGCGTCCTGTGGCGGGGTGTTCGCGCCTGGGTCGTTGGGACCACTTGGCACAGCTGGTCGCCCAGAGACCTGCCGGAGCGACCAGGCGGTCCAGCAGGCCCAGGTGGCGATCATGGAGGACGAGCGAAAACCTTCCTGAGTTCATCCATAGAGCCAACTTGTTCCATTCTGTGGGTGTCGGACATTATTATATGCACATGCGTATGCATACATTTACACAAATCCAAAGCATACACATCATACGTTTACACGTGCCTACACCTATACACCTGCATGCGCACATACACATGCAGATCTACATATATATATATATATATATGTATGTATGTATATAGATGTGTATACCTATAGACACATATGTACGAAAGAGCGAGGTCTGTGGTCGCTTGGAGGGGGGGCTATTTGTTTGGGGAACACGCGTTTCGAAACATTGTGTTTTGTGCTTTGTGCTTAAGTCACAACCATCCTATGATGTTGGGTCCTCTCCTTCCTCCTCTTCTCTCCTCCTCCTCCTCCTCCTCCTTCTCCTCCCCCTCCTCCCTCCTCCCGTCCATGCCTCTGCCTCCTTTCATGTCCCCCATGTCGGCACACCCCTCGCACGGTTCGTGGCCCCACAGGGAGCTCCACCGAAGGTTCCAGCGGGAGGGATCGCATGGCACCATCGCGCCCAATTCGGCACACAACCCTCACATTGTTCGTGGCCCCATAGGGAGCTCACCGCACCCAATTCGGCACACACCCCTCACACGGTTTGTGGCCTTGTAGGGAGCTCCACCGAAGGCTCCAGTGGCAAGGTTCGCACTGCACCACCGCACCCAATTCGGCACACTCTCACACGCTTCGTTGCCCCATTGGGAGGTCCACCGAAGGTTTCAGCGGGAGGGTTCTCATGGCACCACCGCGCCCAATTCGGCACACCCTTCACACGCTTCGTGGCCCCATAGGGAGCGCCACCGAAGGCCCTAGTGGCAGGGTTGGCATGGCGCCACCGCACCCAATTCGGCACACCCCTCACTGTTCGTGGCCCCACCGAAGGCTCAGTGGGAGGGTTCACATGGCACCACTGCGCCCAATTCTGCACACCCCTCACACGCTTCTTGGCCCCATAGGGGGTGCCACCGAAGGCCCCAGTGGGAGGGGGAGGGTTCGCTTGGCACCACCGCGCCCAATTCTGCACACCCCTCACACGGTTCGTGGCCCCACAGGGAGCTTCACCGAAGGCTCCAGTGGGAGGGTTCGCATGGCACCGCCGCGCCCAATTCGGCACACCCCTCACACGGCTCATGGCCCCATTGGGAGCTCCGCCGAAGGCTCCAGTGGGAGGGTTTGCATCACACCACCGCGCCCAATTCGGCACACCTCTCTCATGGTTCGTGGCCCTACAGGGGGCTCCGGTTCGCATGGCACCACCGCGCCCAATTCGGCACACCCCTCGCACGGTTCGTGGACCCAGAGGGCATAGGGAGCTCCACCGAAGATTCCAGTGGGAGGGTTCGCATGGCGCCACGGCGCCCAATTTGGCACACCCTTCACACGGTTCGTGGCCCGAAAACGGTACCCACGATGCGGCACTCGCAGCTGCACATGGTTGGGCCCTTCGCCAGGCTACTTATGTTTTCTTGACGCCCGATGTTGCAATTCTTACGGGACCGATTGCTGTTTCTAAACGATCCAGAGGTGTTGGGACCTCGTTTTGAAGAGACGTCGTTTTAATTATGTTTTCTTGACGCTCGATGTTGCAATTCTTACGGGACCTATGATTGTTTCTAGACGATCCTGTGGTGTTGGGACCTCGTTTTGAAGAGACAACGCCCCCGCGTTCCCCACCCCGCCCCGCCTCCCGCGCTCCCAGCCCTCGTCTTTTCCTCCTCCTCGCCTCTGCCCTCCGCATGCCTCTGTTTCGCCGCACCCCATCGCGCGCCTCGTGGTCCCGTAGGGAGCTTCACCCAGGGCCCGGGTGGCAGGGTTCGCATGGCGCCACCGCGTCAACTCCGGCATACCCCACACTGCTTTGTGACCCCCCAGGGAGCTCCACCGAAGGCCCCAGCGGGAGGGTTGGCACGGTGCCACCGCGCGCAAATAAGCACACCCCTCACACGCTTCGTGGCCCCGTATGGGGGCTCCACCGAAGGCTCGAGCGGAAGGGTTCGCACGGCCCCACCGCATTCATTTCGGCGCACCCCTCACACGCTTCGTGGCCGCATAGGGAGCTCCACCGAATGCCCCAGTGGCAGGGTTCGCATGGCGCCACCGCGCCCATTCTGGCACACCCCTCACACGTTCCGTGGCCCCATAGGGAGCTCCCCCGAAGACCCAACTGGTAGGGTTCGCATGGCGCCACCGCGTTCATTCCTGCGCACCCCTCACACGGCTCGTGGCTCCACAGGGAACTCCACCGCACGCCCCAGTGGATGGGTTCGCATGGCGCCACCGCATCAATTTCGGCACGCGCCTCACGCGCTTCGTGGCCCCATAGGGGACTCCTCCGAAGGCCCCAACGACAGGGTTCGCATGGCGCCACCGCGCCCATTCCTGCACACCCCTGACTTGTTGTGGCCCCACATGGAGCTCCACCGAACGCCCAAGTGGCAGGGCTCGCACGGCGCCACCGCGTTCATTTCGGCACATCCGTCCTACGTTTCGTGGCCCCACAGGGAGCTCCACCGAAGGCTTCGCGGGAGGGTTCGCATGGCGCCGCCGCACCCATGTCCGCACATCCCTCACACGCATCGTGGCGCCACAGGGAGCCCCACCGAAGGCCGCAGTGACAGCGTTCGCATGGCATCGCCGCGCCCATAGGGTCCCACAGGGAGATCCACCGAAGGCGGGGCTCACAATTGCGGTGCCCACAATTGCATTTGGTTGGGTCCTTCGCCAGCATAGTTTCGAAAGATGTCGGATTGCACGCACGCGACGACGCGCGCGTGCGCACTTCGTCCCATTATGTTCCAAGGAGTTCTTAGAAACTGTTGTTTTTGTCATAAACGTGTGCGCGCATTAATTTTTGGGCAGAGGATGAGGGGGATGCGATGCTGGCCTGCCTGGGATGGCACGAATTCATATTGCAGCATCGCACGCAAACTGGACATCCCCAAAGGGGGGCGATAAATCCGGATGGGGTAGATCCGAAGAGCCGGCGAGGCGCATTCTATGTGGCGCATTCTATGTGGTGCCGTTAACTTATGCTCACGAGAGTGTTGTCAGCTCCATTGCTCGCGCAGTGATCCCACCCCGCCATCCGCAACTTGGTTTGCCAAACCGAGGCGGCGACTATTGCGACGACTGCTTGGCGCTGGCCGGCGTGTCGCTGCGGCCGCGCTAGCGCGCAGAGCAGCCAGCTCGTCGGGCGCGGCCGACGCGCCCGGGTTTGCGCAGACCGCTAAGGACTGCACAGCGCGCCCCGCAGGCCGCGCTGACGCGCGGACACTTCAGTGCGAGTCGGTGACTCGGTCGGGTGCGGTATCATGGTGACGTCGACAACGGCAGACACGATGATGATGGTGATAGTAGCGGTGCTGGTGACGATGAGGACGGCGACGACGGCTAGGCCAATCGCGGCGCCGATGTTGACCGCGCCGACGACGATGATAGTGTCCACGTGTCGGAGATGGAAGTTTGGGATGGACCTGGGCATGCGCGCGCGGCCGACAGGCGCGAGTGGCCCGCGCGGCATTGCTAGACAGGGCCCCCCTGCCCCCCCAGCAAGCGCGCAGGGTCGTTCGCGCGATGTCGACGTGCCCGCGCGAGAGGCCCTTTTTGATTGCTTTTGATGGCAAAGTTGAAGGCATTCTGGCATGCGCGCGCGACGACGCACGCGCCGACTTTACATAATTTGTTGCAAGGGGTTTGTGCACGTGCATGATTTCTCTTAAACGATGGCGCGCGCGCTTCTTGAGGGGGGGCAGGGGTGGCGGGGTGGGGGGGGGGCTGGGAGGGTCTTGAGATTGTTTGATTATAGATTATTAAGCGATCGAGCGTGCACAATAAAATGTGAATTCACATTACCCCAGAGGGAGTCGACATCCCTAGTTGGGGTGGTGATGGGGTAGAATTTGAGTTTATTCTGGAGCGGAGTTTCTGCGCGGTGCAATTCGTTTCTAATCGCGGTGAATGGTCGGCCCCACTGCTCGCGCAACCATCCCACCCGCCAAGCAGACCGCAATTCGGCGTGCAAAACTCATGCGGCGGCGATTGCGATGACTGCTTGGCGCTGGCTGGCGCGCCGCTGCGGCCGCGCTAGCGGGCGCAGGCTCGCGCGCAGCGCGCCCAGCTCGTCTGGCGCGACTGGCGCGGCCGCGGCGGCGCAGACCGCTGGGGATTTCCCGGCGCGTTTCCCAGGCCGCGCTGACGCGCGGGCATTTCACTGCGAGTCGGTGGTTCGTGCGGGCGCTGTGTCATGTCGACATCGACAGCGCTTGACGCGATGATGAATGCAGCGATGCCTGTGGCGATGAAAATGACGATGGCGACGGCGAGGCGGGCCAATCGTGGCGCCGATGTTGACTGCGCCTATGACGATGTTGGTATCCACGCGGCGGAGATGAGTTGTTCGGGAGGGCTCCGACACGCGCGCGCGGTCGACGGGCGCGAACGGCCTGCGCCGTGCCATTTGACAGTTGTCGCCCCCCAGCAGCACGCGCGCAAGGGCGCTCGAATCATTTCGACATTTCGTTCACGAGGGGCCCATCGGGAAACATGTGATTGCAAACATAGGAATCCAATGGTTGTCTTGCGGGTAGCCATGTGCTGTACGTGCTCGGTACAGTCGAGTTCGAAACCCTTACGACATTTTGTTTCTTTTGAAGATCCTGGCATGCGCTGCGCAAGCGACGGCGCACGCGGGAATTTGGCTTTATAGTTTGGCACGGGTTTCTTGCAAGCGGACGCGTTCATATGTTTTCGTTTTTGCGCGAGGATGTTGAGGGGGAACCTGCCCCAGTTGGCATGGAACCATTCGTTGTTTAAACGAGCGGCGGGGCAGGATTTCATGCCAATAACTTATTTCCGGGGGGCGCGGATGAAACGGGCGCGCGCGTGCGCGGGGGAGGGATGGGGAGGGGTTCGGTTTTTCATTCGCTTGTAGAAACGACCATACGCGTGGCGCAATCTAGCCGGTGCAATCGACGCGGTGCAACCAAGTTGGCGCAATTGTCGTTGCTAGAGTTGAAGCTGCCAGCTCCGTTGCTCGCGCATCATCCCATCATCCCACTTGCCCACCCGCAAGTTGATCTGCGAAACCCTTACCGTGGCGATTGCAATGGCTACTTGGCGCTGGCTGGCGCATCGTTACGGCCGCGCTCGCGCGCGCAGGTTGGCGCGCAGAGCGGCCAGCTAATCTGGCGCGACCGACGCGGCCGCGGTGGCGCTGACCGCTGGGGACTTTCCAACAAGTCTCGCAGGCCGCGCTGACGCGCGGTTTCGTATGCAACGTATGGGCGTGGGCGCCTGGTGTCATCGATAACACAAGAACCCATGACACGAATGGCACGATGAAGACGTGGCCTCACTGAGGCGCCCGTATTCGCACTCGGGATGATGGTTCTGTGCGGTCTGGGCCGGGCCCTGCGCAGGACGGGGGCGTCGCCAGAACTCGGGTTTTTGGCGCCGCCGTTGGGCTGTCCTGGCGCCAGCCGAGCCGCCCCGATGCCCGCCCGCTGTGGAACGCAACGCGTGCCGTGCTCAAAGCGTCTGTGTCAGCACGTCGCGTGCTGGCTCAGCGCGTCGGCCCACGCTTTGGCGAGCGTGTCGCGCCAGACCTGTATGTTCAGCCTGCGTGTCGAGCTCCGTATCAATGCTGTGCGTGTGGCGTGTTGCACATCGGGGTAGCTAAGGGACACGAGTTTTGACCGCCCAGGTTTTCTGGGGTGCTTGAAGCGGGAGCCCGCGTCAAGTTTCAGACTGGGTCCCGCCGTCTTGTCGACGGCCCCGCAAGACCAAAACGAGCCTCTCCAGCCCGAAGCATATGCCTCCCCGAGTGAAGCGGGCGGCCGAGAACAACTCCAGAGCACTGCAGGGCGTCGCGACCCTGGAGGCAGCAGCGGCACTTGCCCAGAGGCCCACCGAGGCCCGCGGCGGGCTAACAGGTCCACCGAGGGGAGCCCGGGCTCTCTCTCTTGCCCAGCCCCCCTTTCGACGCGCGGGCGTCCGCTGCCCAGCTCCCTTGCCGTGACTCTTTCGCCCAGCTCTCTCGCCCTGGCTCTCTCGCCCTGGCTCTCTCGCGAGACTTGTTTCTCATCCTGTCTGGTTGCCCTGTGGTGGTCGTTGCCCCGAGGGGGGGGGCGGGCAATGGGCGCGGGGCCCTGGGTGACGGCAGCGCTTGGGGCGGAGTGGGGGACGTCGGGGCGGGGGCGCGCTGCGATCGCCAGAAGATGCGCGCGAGCACCAGCATGTGGTGGAAGGGGTGGTGGTGGTGGTGGTGGTGGTGGTGGTGGTGGTGGTGGTGGTGGTGGTGGTGGTGTGGTGGTGGTGGTGGTGGTGGTGGTGGTGGTGGTGGTGGTGGTGGTTGGTTGGTTGTGAGGAGGAGGAGGAGGAAGGAGGAGGAGGAGGAGGGAGGAGGGAGGGAGGAGGAGGCGGAGGAGGGTTCCAGCCCCCCCCTTCCATCTCGACGTACCTCATCCTCCCTCCCCCTCCTCCGCCTCCGAATCTTCCTCGCTCCTCCTCTCGCTCCTCCCCTCCTCCTCTCCTCCTCCTCCTCCTCCTCCTCCTCCTCCCCCTCCTCCTCCTCATCCTCCTCCTCCTCCTCCTCCTCCTCCTCCTCCTCCTCGCTCCTCCTCCTCCTCGCTCCTCCTCCTCCTCCTCCTCCTCCTCCTCCTCCTCCTCCTCCTCCTCTCCTCCTCCTCCTCCTCCTCCTCCTCCTCCTCTTCCTCCTCCTCCTCCCCCTCCTCCTCCCGGCAGCGGCGGTTACCCCTTGTAGGGGGGATGGGGGGCCAGCGGCAACGCCTGGGCCGGGCGTGGCTTGTCGGGGAGGGGGGGGCGCGCTGCGACCGCCACAGCACGAGCGCGAGCACCAGCTGTGCGGGGGGGGGGGGGCGGGTACCGACCGTCACGCGCCAGAGGGCCGAACAACGACGGACAGCCTCGAATGAGCTCCCCCGCCCGAGCTCTCTCGCCGAGCCTCCGGGTCCGAGCGCTCTCGCCCTCCTCGCTCCAGCCCCTCGCCGGCCGTTTTGCCGCGGTGCGCCCCCCGCAGCGGCGCCTGGCCCACAGGCCGTCGGCAGGATCACGAAGATGAGCAAGCACCTGAGAGCCAAGACGACCATCCCCGAGGCCCCGAGAGCTGCTCTCTCTCTCTCTCTCTCTTTCTCCTTTGCTGCCTCTCTCTCTCTCTCTTTCTCCCTCTTTGCGGCGCGCAGCAGGGGGCAGCGAGGGGGGGCAAGCCTTGTCACCGGGCGACGGGGCTGCTCCGAAGCCCTCCGCGACCCGCGGACGAGGCGTGCCGTGGCTTCCGAGGCGGTGCGGAGCGCTTCTCGGAAGGCCAGCGGCCGTGTGAGCCTTCTGGGAAAAAAGGCCCGCCCCCTCCTGCCCTCTCTCCTGGGCGCGCCGCCGGCGCTCGGCAGATGGGGGGGGGGGGGGGGGGGGGGGGCAGCGCCCACGCCCCGCCGATGGCCATCCGGTCACTTGCCCCCTGGAGGGCTGGCGCTCGCGTTTTCGTCCTGGGAGGGCTCGGCCGTGGGCACCGCGGCACGTCCACGCCGTTCTTGTCTGCGGTGGCGGCCGTGGGTGCAGTCGGCCTGGATTAGTAGGTCGCCCCTGCCAAATCAAGGGTGCCCTTGTGTCCTGTGCCTCGCGACACGTGCCTTCTTACACTCCTGTGGCGATGTGGCCATCGGAAGGGTCTTGTGTTCTCTCGCGTGTCCTGTCCAGTCAGGGCCGACTGCATGGCGGCACGGTCATGCCGTTCTTGTCTCGTCTGGGTCTCGTGACTCTGCAGCACATCACCCGGCTCAAGCTGCTCTTATCGCGTTTGGGGGCCCGTCTCGGGCGGGGCTAAGCCCGGAAGGCACCGTTCCAGAGCCATCCTGAACGCGCTCAGAACGTGTCGGAGCGCTCTGGAACGGCCGCGGCTGCCGATGCATCCTCCAGAACAGCTGGATCTCAGAGATCCCCGATTTGACCCGGTCTGAGTTCGTCCCAGTCCCAGCCTCGTCTTCATTCCACGCCCTCGAAGCAGCTGAGGCCCGAGCCTGGCGCGGGAGGCCAAGGCCAAGCCGCTGTGGGCGATGTCACGCTCCAGGTGCGGGCCAGATTCGTATCCATATTCGCTGCGTCTCGGACTTTCTGGGAAGGGCGCACAGATGCCGAGACGCAGTGGGTATGGCGAAGAATCTGGCCTCCAGGGGCCGCACTCTTAACCCACCTCCACCGCGCCTCTGGTTCCTGGGCGAGGGAGCCCGGAATGCCAAGATGCAGTGGATGCGGATCGAAGTTGTGCCCCCACACGGGCCTCCGAGCGCCGCATGTCTTGATGGGCGTGTTTTCCACCACCACCACCATAAGTTGGAGGGAAGAAGGAGGAGGAGGACAGGGAGGAGGAGGAGGAGGAGGACCCCCTCCCCCTCCAACTTATGGTGGTGGTGGTGGAAAACACGCCCATCATGTCTGGAGGTCGCTCGGCGAGCGTGCCCTTTGCGGATGCACGGCGACGGGTCTGGGGCGGCCGCAGGCAGACGCGGGCGCGCGCACGGCGGCTGCGAGACCGGTCGCGGGGAGGGGCTCGGCGGCTCCGGGCGAGCACATGCCTCCAACGCGTCGAGCAGCTCGAGGCAGAAGTGTTGTTCGCTCTTCTTCCGCCTCTGCGGCCGTCCAGGAAAGACTCAGGGTAGAAGGCCGGACCTAGAGAGGTGGTCGGGGCTTCAGGGATCTCGCGTTGAATCCCCGATCCGTGGATCTTGCGCCCGCGCTCCAGGTCCCGCACGGTTTCGGAGTCCAGGCTTGCGCGCGCCCGAGAGGAGAGGAGAGGCGGCTGGGTGCGAGCGGCGTTCCCGCGCCCGCACGCTGCGGGCGCTCTTGTTGGGCGGAGCGGCCGCCGGCAGAAGCCGGCGCGCGCGGATCTTCGGCGGTGTGCGGTGTCGGGCCCTGCGTGCGAGGCGCCGGCGCGCGTCTCGGCGGCTGCAGGTTCGCGCCGCGTCGACACGGCGAGGGCCCCGCCGCTGGCGTTCATGGTGGAACGCAGCCAGGGGCCCAGAGTCGGCCAGGGCGGAATGATCCGGCGATCGAACTGCCGCTGATCGTTCGTGGTTGGTCGACCCATGCGGTGTCAGAGCCCAATGCCAGGATCGTCACGACGCGAGCCTTTCTTCAGAAGGTGCGAGGCGGGATTTGTCCATGTGGCCACCCAGGTTGAGAGCTGCCAGTGGCGCACGATCGGCCGATACCCGGTGACCTGTGCCAGCGGGAAGCCGCGACTGTTGAGGTTTCAAGCTGAAGCCACCGCCAAGGCCATTCCGACGCTGGCCCGCCGTCGGTCACCTCCAGAGGCGCGAGGATGACCGAGCGCAGTGCGCCCTCGCTGCCGAGGCCGCTGAGGCGGCCGTCTCCAGGTTGGCCCCTCGAGGGCGCGAAGGTGAAGCTGGAACAAGGGTTCAGAGCAGCCCTGCCTTTGGAGGGGCACCCTGATGTCCTTCCTGCCTGGGCTCTGCTCCTCTGCGCGGCCTCCGCTGGGAGTGCCTCCACGGGGCCCCCGGGCTCTCGACGGTGGGGCTCGCGCTCTTGCTGGACGTTCCTGTGCTCGTGCTCCGACCGTGCGCCGCCCGTCGCGCAGCGCGCGGCGCGGGTGCGCGCAGGCGGTGACCCGGCAGCTGTCAGATCAGTGGCGCGTGCGGCGACGAGCTCGGAGGCTCGGGGACGGAGCGGCGGCATCGCCACCGGGGGCGGGGCTCGCGCGGGGACGCTTCGACGCCCCACTCGTCCTCGGCTCGCCGAGGGGGGGCCCCGGAAGCCTGGCCTGTCCAGAGCCGTCGGCGGGGTCGCGATCGAGGGCCCGTCGCCGATCTGTCGGCGACGTATCGGGGAAACGTAAGACTCGAGTAAGCCGGAACTCGGGTTAGCCGGCGTTTTTTGACGAGCGCGGCGGGGATTTTGACGGTCCAGTTTTCGTGGGATGTCTGCAGCGGGAGCTCGCGCCAAATTTCAGATTGGGCCTCGTCATTTTTATGGTGGCCCCGTCAGGCCAGCCCGAGTCCCCTGTGCCCGAGTCTTACGCCTCCCCGAGCGTATATCTCAGAGCGTGAAATACCTACCCCGCTTTCGCTTCCAGGCAAAACCGAGTCATACACACGCGCCTCCTCGTCGAGCGGCCTGACCAGTACAGGCCGTAGTTTGGCATCGCTTGGCACCTCTTGGAAGCGAGGGCGGTCAAAAGCGAGGCAGGTCTGCTTGCCCCCCAATATCGCCGATTCCAGGCGAGGCGCCCCCTCCCCGAGGGGTAGGCGCCCCCCCTCCCGCGGCCCCGCGGCGGCGGGCGGCGCACCGCCGCCGGGTCCGTGCTTTTGGGGCGCGCGGAGGAGGCAGCGGGCCGTGGCCGGCGCGGGCGCGTGCGGCGGCCGTCCCCGCGCCGGCTCGCCGACGTCCGGGGATCGAGGGCAGAAAAAACGGCCCTACCCTGGTTTATCGGGTCGGGCGAAAGGGGGGGATTGGGAAAGGGGGGGTTACGAAATTTGCTGCATGCAGCTGGCTTCGGCCCCGCCGAGGGGCCCCTTCCTCGATACATGGTCGCCTCCCGGCGCCGGGAGGCGCCGGGAAATCAGCTACGTGAGCTGATTCTCAAACCCCCCCTTTGCTATCCCCCCCTTTCGCCCGACCCGAGTTTACGAGGCGCTGTGCGCTGAAACTCCTGTGGGCTGACAGGGTAAGCCCTGCGTGATGTGCCGCGTCCTGGCGGCTCTAGGCTTTGGGGGTTCCCGGGAGGTTTGCAGACCACGCACTTGTAACCCAGGGTAGGGTCGTGTTCTCATCCCTCAAGGGAAGGGAGGGATCGGGGAAGCTCAACGGCACCGTAACGGGTACTTCTAACGGGGTACTTTGAATTGTTGCCGAAAGTTGCCTTTTCGGGGCCTTTTTCTTGCAGTGCAGCTTTGCCCACATCGGGAAGGGTTGGGTTCGCTGGGTCACTGGCCAAAGTACCCGTTAGTGGAGTCCCCGTTTGAGGGGCGCTGAGAAGCGTAAGGCTCGAGTAGGCCAGGACTCGGCTCTGCCGACGTTTCTTGGCGAGCGCGTCCTGCATTTTGACGGTCCAGTCGTCGTGGGACGTCTGCAGCGGGAGCTCGCGTCAAATTTCGGATTGGATCTCGTCATTTTCATGATGGCCCTGTCAGGCCATCCCGAGTCCCCCGCACCCGAGTCTTACGTCTTCCCGAAAACAGGGGAGTGCAGCCTTAAGGCCCCCCCCCCGCTGGCCCACCCGGGCGACCCTTGGTGAGAGCGGCAGGGGGATGTCGGGGAGGTGCCCAGAGAGATGGGACGTGGTTTTGTTCGCAAGGTGGTCTGAAGAGAATGTGAACTCAAAGGCTGATCGCCTACCGCCTCTGGCTGCTCCTCGCAGGTGTCGCCGCGTGATTGTCGGTTGTCTTCGGCCTGAGCCCAGGCTTGTGGCCGAACCTCGGGGAGGCTTCCCGTTTGGGAGTCGCAGTGACCTTGAGGTGCGGCGCCCGAACAGGAGTAGGAGGAGGAGGAGGAGGAGGAGGAGGAGGAGGAGGAGGAGGAGGAGGAGGAGGAGGAGGAGAGGGAGGAAGAAGAAGCGCTATCAGAGAAGACCGGGCAAGGAGAAGCGGGTATGGCAGCAACAGGAGTCCCAGGAAGTGTTGATGGTTGCTTCCGCCCTGGATCTCCGGAGCTCCAAGGGCCCCTGGATGCTTGCCAAGGTGCCGGGAAGTGCCCGGGGGCCTCAATGGATTCCCAGGCGCGCACGCTTTCCCCGAACGCGTTCCAAAAGCGTCACCTCGAGCTTCGAGGGCCGAGGAAGTCCCCAGCCTCCCGCACCGCGGAGCGGAGCGACACGCTGACCCGCCGGCAGGGCACGGCGTGTCGCCGGGGCCGCCGCCTCCGCACGCCGAGGCCGAGCTCCCGCCAGTCAGACGGGAGGCAGCAGCGGCAGCTCCTCCTCGTCCTCCTCCTCCTCCTCCTCCTCCTCCTCCTCCTCCTCGTCCTCCTCCTCCTCCTCGTCCTCCTCCTCCTCCTCCTCGTCCTCCTCCTCCTCGTCCTCCTCCTCCTCGTCCTCCTTCTCGTCCTGGGAGCGCCAGCCACGGGGCTCGGTCCGCAGCCTCGGCTCA